ATAAGATCATACACGATACGAACCCGATATGACACCATTTGTTAAGTACAAATTAATAAACAAAATGGATATAAGTAGAGTATTTTTTAACACGAACCTGTAAAGACCCGACATGATTGACCAGTGTAGTGGTGATAGAGTTTTGAGTTATTTGTTACCTGTTCTGGACATGATTCTGGCTGATCACAATANCATGATTGACCAGTGTAGTGGTGATAGAGTTTTGAGTTATTTGTTACCTGTTCTGGACATGATTCTGGCTGATCACAATAGTTTTGATTTATAATTATGGGATTGGTCACATTGTGCATGATAATTGCACGGAAGAATTTCTGCAACAGATTAAGATAGTGACCTTCTGTCTGGCAAACCTGCAACAGTCACAGGGTCAGAAAAAGGGATCGAATGAATACATGACTTATCCCCTTCGAAGTTTAAGTTAATATATGATTGGAGGCTTGAGCACAATGTATCATGTATCGTGGTTTAATGTTGTATACCTTTGTTCACTTTTCTAAGGAGTATTTATAGCTGGATTAGTAAGGAGTGCTAGGACCTCAAGTCTCATCTGAACATTCAATGTCTGGCACTCTTACCCATGAAGATCTAAATGTTCCTCACATAGATCTTCACATATTTAATGTTAGGATGATAGGACAAGTGTTTGGGGATGCGCCGACCATCTATGGCTATTCCCGAGCACCCAAGTGTCTCTGATTGGCACCTGACACCTACTACTGAGCGTTAAATGCTCGAGGGAACAGTATCGAGGAGGTATTCTCGGCACATCAGCCATTAATGTCTAATCATGATGACTGCAGGCTTAGGCTTTTGAGGGTGCAGGGGCTCATTAATGGCAGTCACTGTCACTCCTATCGTCATAAATGAGTAGTCAAATCGTATTAAATGTGTGTCTGCTTGTGTACTCGAATCCTCCAAGCCGTCATCTCTCGGCTCCACTCCTCGGTGTCCTTTAGGCTCCATAACAGCTACAATTTTACACGTGTCGATCTGGGGGCTACTGAGNAAGCCGTCATCTCTCGGCTCCACTCCTCGGTGTCCTTTAGGCTCCATAACAGCTACAATTTTACACGTGTCGATCTGGGGGCTACTGAGTCACCTAGAGTCTCGCCAATAATGTTTTGAAATTTGATATTTTTTGCGTATCCAGATCCTCCCTGCATAGAAAATGAGATAAAAGTGAACATTTAATTGATCAATGATGAAATATAGAAATGTGAACTATGGGACTTTCTTGTCATTTCACAAATACAAGGGGTTTGATGTGTTATTTCATCCAAATTCAACGTTGTTAGTGAGTACGATATTAGGACAAATTATACTTTGAGCCCGTCAACTATACTTTTATTTCATATTATCCCCTCAACTAATGACAGATAAAAACCTTCTGTCCGAAACATGAGACAAATCCCTGTAATTAAGGGACCAATGTGGAAAAAACTCGATAGACAAGGGGATAAAAAGAGATTAGGAGTATAGTTTAGACTAAGACTCACAACCATAATATGCTTTATTACCAAACACCAAAGCGAAACAAAAGACTTTCCTATTTGTTTGATGGCAAACTTCAACTAAAAAAAAAATTGCTTTGTTTTGAAATTACTCTACCATGATCTATTCTTGAAGAAACACAAGTAGGGTTGTTGGTGGATCGGGCAGGGCTGACCTCGGGCCAAGACCCATCACATGGAAGGGAAATTCTAGATTGATTTGACATGGCACGAGCCAGACAGTATCTCTCTTCAAAAATGTATAGTGACATTAGAACTTAAATATGTATAGCAAATAAGTCGGCTAACTTAGAAAATTATAGTTTAAAATATGTCAAATTGTAAAAAGAATAAAAAAAATTTGACAGGTTGGTTGCACACTAGCTCAAGTTCTTTAGTCGATAACTGGACTCATACATGAACTAGACAGGTGGGCAAAACGAAAATCTAGGTGATTTGTGACCCTTTCATAGATGGGCATCGGGCTGCCAGGGGCAAGCCAAGCCTATGGACAGCGCTATTCCCAATCTTATTTTGAATGGTAATGGTAATGCTCTTAGTATTATATAGTATAAATTAGTGTATTTGCATACGTATACACACACATACATACATCTAAGTAAAATTATCAAACTAAACCAAATCAAGTCCTATGTCTCAATCATTTAAGGTTAGCTATTAAGTCTGTCTTCGTCATTCATTTCGATCATGCCATATACATCCATTTAAGTTAAATATTTTTATATCTTTTCTTATTATTTCTTTTCAATGTTAACTTTGGTATATCTCTACTTCTAGTACCATTAATAGAAATTTTATCATTTTTTCAAACTGGGGTTTCTATCGGCCTCCGTTGAATATAACCAAACCATCTTAATCTATTCTCTTTTAACTTATCCACAATTAGAGTTACTCGTACCGTTTCTCTAATACAGTCATTTCTTATCCTATCTTTTTTAGTTTTTTCACACATCCACCTGAGTATTCTCAACTCCGCTAAGTTCATTTTGTCACTATGTTGTTTCCTAGTTGCCCAACATTCTGTCTCATACAATATTGTGTCCTTATAACTATTCGGTAAAGCTTACCTTTTAATTTTATTGGTATACTTCTATCACATAATATGCCAGAATCTTTTATCTACTTAAGCCAACCAACGTCAATTCTTTGAGTTACATCATCTCCAATCTCTCCATCATTTTTAATTATCGATCCTAGATATCTAAATCGTTTACTCATTGGTATTTTTTGATTTTTAATCTTAACTTTTTTATTATGTCTACTTTTTGTATAAAATTTTATTTCATATATTCAATCTTACTCCTACTTATTTTAAACCCTTTCGACTCGAATGTGTTTCTCTAAATTTTTAGCTTATTGTTCCCCCTTCGAGTTTTATCTACTAATACAATATCATCTGCAAATAGCATATACCATGGGATGTCACCTTGAATGTGCCTAGTGAATTCATTCATAATTAGGGCGAATAGGTATGAACTTAAGGCCGATCCTTAGTGTAATCTCATCGTGATTGAAAATTCTTTACTTTCTCTCACGAAAGACCTAATTGTAGTCATACATGTCTTTTATCACTTCAATATACCTATTCGTCACTCATTTTCTCTTAAGCACCATCCATATTACATTCATTGATTCACTGAAACATGTGAAGTTATATTCACTGATTCATACACAATCTAAATAGCATATATCATATAATGTGACATCACAAATGTCACATCCATATATATTTCTTTTAATGAATTATAGTGTTACATTACAATGTACCATTACAAAGTGACACTATTTTTAGATTTGAGAACAAACATAACTATTTAACATTAAAAAATAATAATAATAAATTTTAAAATCTGGGTCAAGCCATTAAAGTATATTCCATGTGGTATAATTTTGAATATTAAATATGTCTAATCCCCTAATATATAAAACTATTAATATAATAAATTAAATCCCATAAAAAATGAGACTACCAAATTAACACTACAAGAAAAAAGGATTTTTGCGGCGGTAAAGTGCTGTCATAAAAGGTCTATTTGTCATCACAAATATTTTTTGTGACGGCAATGTGGCAGTATTGCCTCGCCATAATAAGTGCGGTCTCAAAAGGTTGTTGCGGTAGCAATGGTCTATCTCAAATAGTATTTTCGACAGCAAGACCCTGCCGTTAATAAGTTGTCACAAAAAATCTGACACTTTTGTTTTTATCACGATGGCAAAAATGCTGCCTCAAATACCATATTTGGAGGTCATAAAAAATAGAAGATATATTTATAATAGTAACGATGCCGCCACAAAAAAATGTAATCATTATGGATCATTGGTAACCAATGTTATATACCTTGTGCATATATACATTCCGTACAACTTTTTTATTTGGGAGTGGGAGGGGGAGGTGGGAACGTATTTCAAGTCAAAGGTACTTATTAACAAAAGATTTTAGAAAACGTATTTTCTTACAATTAAGTTGTTTAAAAGGTTACTACTCACAATTTTCCGTTAAATTTGTGATTGATCTAACCAATTAACCCAATGACTCATTGACCAATTCTTTTGTCAGGTCAATGCTAGGGCCGAATTACTAACTATGCTTTAAACGGGCAACTATATTGTGAAGATCATTTAAGCCTTATTAGGTATTAGGAATAACCCATGTCTAAAGTCACGGTAAAATATAAATAATTTTGAAAGAGATTGNGGTATTAGGAATAACCCATGTCTAAAGTCACGGTAAAATATAAATAATTTTGAAAGAGATTGTTTGTGGCCGGTAGATAAATCTATTTAAGACCGTCAGAAAGACTTATTAAAGTCTATCCTATTTTATATTATAGATAACGAAAAAACCTTGAAANGATAAATCTATTTAAGACCGTCAGATAGACTTATTAAAGTCTATCCTATTTTATATTATAGATAACGAAAAAACCTTGAAAGGTCGCATTTTACTCATCAGCCAACATACCAAGTTAATCAAGACTCATATTGCAATGTACCACATAGCAACAACCATGCCAAGTTAATCAAGACTCATATTGCAATGTACCAAATAGCAACAACCAGAGGAAAATAAAGTTTCTCTATTGAAGAACACACACATATAACCTTAAATTCACCAAAAAAAAAATATATATATATATATATATATATATGTGTGTGTGATAAAATAAATGAGAAATGTTCTGGACGAATGGGTATAAATATCTCTAAATTGTTACGTGACTTACAAACTTATAAAAAAGGGTGGCTCAATCTATGAGACTTTCGCCACTGACTTACAAATTTATATAAAGAAACGAAATCAATAATTCTCGTCGAGCATAAAATCTAAAAAGAGAAAAATAAAAACAAAAGTTTACATGAAATAAAAAAATCTAATTATTCTGCACCAAAAAAATATATTCCTATTTAAATTCTAATTAAAACCCAAAAAACTGTTTCCTAAGAATGTGATGTTCTTTTGCTTTTTTGTCATTGGCAAAGTGGAGAGACCCTCTCTGTGCTTGGTAGTCTGACGTTTTGGCATGAAGCTTTTGCTTTTGTCTCTCCTTCACGGACTGGATTTACATTCTGCAACACAATGCCATTACATGGGAAGGTCGTGCTACAGTCAAGTTTAACAGCCACCTCTGAAGCACTGGTTCCTTTGATGTTCTTGTACACCACATTCGTTACTTGCACAGCTTAGTGCTGAAATCAAATACAGATCATAGACTTAGAGGATAAGTCTACGGTACTCACAAAAAAATATATAAAAAAAAAATACGGGTGTTATAGCGAAATATGACTATTCAGAAAAAATGATCACGATTTAACTGGATTAGATGTGAAGATAGGGTACAAAAAAGTTATATTNATATATAAAAAAAAAATACGGGTGTTATAGCGAAATATGACTATTCAGAAAAAATGATCACGATTTAACTGGATTAGATGTGAAGATAGGGTACAAAAAAGTTATATTCCATATCATAACCAGATTTGTTAGTTAAGATACGGTACGAAAGAGATGCAGTTGACAGAACGAGTGTCTATGATTAGGGTGGTGGTGATTAGTGGTGTCAGAATATGATACTACCTATCAACAAGACACGAAATAACAGGACTTGGGTCTTGCTTAATAAATACACGACACAATTAATAGACGAATTGGGTATGGGTGAATCCAATCAAAAAAACTACACGATTTGTGTAAATATCAGTTGTACACGATCATACACAATATCAACCCGATATGACATGATTCGTTAAACACGAATTAATAAACAAATCGAGTATAGGTAGAGTACTTTTTAACACAAAACCATTAAGACCCGACACGATTGAAATGTCTAGTGGTGATAGAGTTTGAATTATTTATTACTTGTTCTGGACATGATTCCAGCTGATCACAATAGTTCTGATTTATAATTATGGGATTAGTCACATTGTGCATGATAATGTTTTGGAATTTGATGTTCTTTGCGTATCCAGATCCTCCCTGCATAGAAAATGAGATAAAAATGAACATTTAATTGATCATTGATGAAATGCAGAACTGTGAACTATGGGGCTTTCTTGTCATTTCACACATACAAGGGGTTTGATGTGTTATTTCATCCAAATTCAATGTTGTTAATGAGTTAGATATTTGGATAAATTATACTTGGGGCCCCTCAACTATACTCTTATTTCATATTATCCCCTCAACTAATGACACATAAAAACCTTCTGTCCGAAACATGAGACAAATTCCTGTAATTAAGGGACCAATGTGAAAAAAAACCCGATAGATGAGGGGATAAAAAGAGATTAGGACTATAGTTGAAGGTATAAAGTGTAATTTGTCCTCAGAGCCTATATGAAGAAGTTGTAAAATGACACTTACCTGCCAAGTCTTTATCCTTACTCCATTTGTGGTCCCCGAAATTCTTGCTCTGTCCACAACCACATCTGAAACCTCATCCTCTGCCTTATTTTTTCCTAAGCTTCCAATGCTGTGAAGAAACGTGAAAATAAATTTGTAAATAAACGAGATATATATATATATATATATATATATATAGAGAGAGAGAGAGAGAGAGAGAGATCACATGCTTTAAAAGTAGAAATTTTTTTGATTATTAATAAGTTGGATGGATTTAGAATTGGAGACCTCATTCCATGGCCTGGTCCACATATGATATCCGTTGCTCGAACATTTTTTAGACCCACTCACAATGGAAATACAATCATCATCTGCAAAAATAGTTAGAAAAACAAAAAGGTCAAAAAAATCCCATTTTTTCCTCAAAATTTTCTAATTTATTACAAATAAGAAACCGTGACGTGTTAAAAAACACCAATTCTGACTTTTTTTAACACATTTTCATTATCAACTGTTGTGGATTATTTGATTAGTAGTTTTTACTAATCATCCAATGGTTATGAACTTACGATTATGCCACATTAGTTGATAAGGAAAAATTGGTAAAAACAATATTAACTTACAAAAAAGGCTATGATACCACAAGGTTACTTTTTCGTACTGTATCATAAGTTATGACTCAATCAAGTGAGATTATGACTCAAATAGATGAGATTACAACTCATGTGGTTGCTTGGGATCAACCACAATGAGTTATATTGTTATGACACCGAATCTGGTATAAACCACAATCATTCTCCTAATCTATTAGTGTAACATGGGTAAAATACAGTAATAGAACTAAGAATTCATGCTTGCTTGGCTCCTTTCCTTTACCTGTTCTGTTGAGAGAGCACGTAATCTGAATATTTTGAGTTCTAGTGACATGAATTTCATCAGTGTTAGGACTATTCTCTGGTGCAATTACTTTGAGATTTGAAGCTTTGACATTCACACAATCTTGAAAAGTTAGATGCATTTGTTGTGCATTTTTAATCCTTATGTTGGCTACTCTCAAATTTATGCAATTGTCGAAGGTCACAGCCTGCAAAAAAAGTTCAAAAACTCTTAAAATCCTGAAATTAAACACTAGATTTTGTTCATGTTAATTCTTTGTAAAGCTTGGTAGAAGAGCCGCAGCCTTACCGTTGGTGCACCCACGCAAGGCTGCATAAAAAACAATGGAAAAATATGTCAAATATTAGTCAACTTGTAGGTATATAAATATAATAAAAAAAAAGGGTAATAGACAACGGGAAATCATCTCAACCACATGTCTTTTTTACCATGCTAATGGAGAGTCCACCCAAGTAGAGGGATTAACTCGGGCTTAATCCAACTTTTAAAATTTGCTACCCAAACTTGAATTTAACTCTAAACATTTATCTAATTTGAACTTGGGTTGAACCCGGATTATACAATTTAGTTTGAAATCAAGTTCAAGTTGGGGTTTGAATTTCTAGTTACACAATTCAGGGCCAAAATTTGGGGACAGACTGAATCCAATAAATTTAGGCGTGGACCAAAAAATTTGAGACCTCAACTTAAGTACTGCTCGAATTAAAATTGAGCTAGGATTTTTTGACTGAAGACCAACTTTAGTATTTAAAATCTCTATCCAAGTATTCTATATTTGAAGTTGGATTCAGGTCAATTTGTCCGACTTACACCTCTAATGATTGTAATAAAAAGCTCGGATGCACAGAATCACCTACTAAGTATTCAATTAGAGAATTTTGTCACCAATACTTACGAGGCTTTTGTTGATTTTGCAAGAGTTTCGCCACCATGGCCTTCCATTTCCATTGATGGTCCCACCACCTTCAACTATGAAGTTGTTCATTTTTTCAAACACAATCCATTGTCTTGGGCTTTCCTTGTAATCAGATCTGCGAGGAGAAGCTTTGATTGTTCCATGGACCTAATTAAGATTACCCAAAAAAAATAAAAAATAAAAAATTATATGAAATTCTAATAAAGAGTTAGCAAAAGCCANGATCGGCGTATTTCTCGATCTTTGATTTGGTAGTGGCTTTAATGTATTTGATGAAGACGAGGGCTAGATCAACATAATTCTCGTTTTTTGATTTGATGATGACTTTGGTAGATTTGTTGAAAACTAGGGCTTGATTGGCGTGATCCTTGATTTTCAATTGATGACGTCTTTGGTGGATTTATTGAAGACGAGAATCGGATTGACATGATTTTCGTTCTTTGATCTTTGATGGATTTGTTGAAAACTAAGATTAGATTGATGTAGTTCTTCTTCTTTGATTTGATAATGGGTTTGGTTGACCTTTTCCCTGTGCTTTATATTGAATTACTTCAAAATAATTTGAATCTCTTGAAGGACCTTGGTGGTGTGCTTTTATTCTCAGATATGGACTTGAAAGACTTTAGTTAGAGGGAGACTCCGATAGAGTTTCACCGCTGATCCTCCCTTCTTCACTTGAGATGAATTGGGACATAGCTTTCTTCATCTTCCTTTCTCCTCAGTTTCTTCTCCTTGGCTTCTCGTTCTTGCCCTCCTCTCCTTGACCCTTTTTCCTTGGCCCCTCTTTTGCTTCTCACAGATCCCTATTTATAGGGCTAGGAGTAATTATCTATATACGGATATTTTACTTGAATACCCTTGTATGAATATAGACTTTAAAAAGTAGACCACCCATATTAATTTAAATTTATGGGTTTTAATTGATTTATGTTATTTGAGCTTGTGAAATTTAGGTTCAACACAATTTAATTTGAGAAGCCTAAATAATTAAAATTAGGCTTGTATTATTTGGGCTGTAGAATTTAGGTCTAACTCAAACCTATTTAATTAACTTTTGACTTGTATTATTTGAGCTTATGGAATTTAAGTCCAACCCAATTTAATTTATCTAAAAGATTTGAGCCCACTAATAAATATAATTATATTTGTAAATTTTTTAATGTCTACACACATATCGAACATAACGCGGATAACTCATGACCCAAACTATTTTATATGTTATATTATAAAGTGAGAATTGTTGAAAACTATAAATTTTGTACTAAATTTGTAAATAAATTCAGGCATGTACGCTTTAAAGCGTGAAGTCCAGCTCAATTGAATTTTTTTGTCGTCTAATCCAAACTAATTTTTCTCTTTTTTAAATGACAATGTTACCCTTTGTGTCTTGCAATTTGCTCAACCAAAGCCGAACAAGAGTCATTATCTTTCTCATAGGTAAATCCAGTTTCTTCCATAAAAACTCAACACCAACCACCACCAATAGTAAACTATACAAAGTGAATTAAACGGCAAAGAACTTAAAAATTCAGCTATTCTTTTGTCCACAGTATATAACAAAACATATTGAGTTTTTTAGTTCACTGTCGTAAAGTTCACCATTGTGGAGTTCACTTGCTGCATATTTTATTAATCTTTCCCTTTTAAAGTGTTCAAAGTGGACCTCTTACCTTAAAAGTGCACGATTTTATTCCTGTCACCGCAAACTAAAAAAATAATCCGTTGAANTTAAAAATTCAGCTATTCTTTTGTCCACAGTATATAACAAAACATATTGAGTTTTTTAGTTCACTATCGTAAAGTTCACCATTGTGGAGTTCACTAGCTGCATATTTTATTAATCTTTCCCTTTAAAAGTGCACGATTTTATTCCTGTCACCGCAAACTAAAAAAATAATCCGTTGAACTGGTGGAGTCCCTCAAAAGCTCGAACACAAAACATCCAATAGTTGGCCAACGTGACGTTAGAAACTCGTTATGCTTGTCATGTTTTATAAACAAAAATTACAAGTGGTCTTATAACTGTCTGTAACCGAAGTTATGGATCAAAGATTGACTTTACAAGCTTCCTCAACCTTTGTTTTGGCAAATTGACCTGGGAAAAAAAAATAATTGTTGAAAAAATCTCTCATATTCAAAGTTTGAATGCCAATATATATTATATATATGGTTGAATGAGTAANACCCTTTGTTTTGGCAAATTGACCTGGGAAAAAAAAATAATTGTTGAAAAAATGTCTCATATTCAAAGTTTGAATGCCAATATATATTATATATATGGTTGAATGAGTAAACCCAAATTCAACCACAGTATTTGTATGGAAATCCAACATTAAAAACCAAGTTTTTTTTTAATGTTTATGGAGATTTGCACTAAACTAGAGCAGCAATGGGTTGGCGAACAAGATGGGTTGAAATCCATTTCGATTTGTTCAATAATTTTTTGAGTTAAGATACTGTGAATTAAAGTGGATTCAATTATACTTAAATGGGTCTCTTATGAATACAGGATAGATGATTTAGTTCTAAAGCATTGTGAATTCTCAACGACGGGTGTTGTGTCATACATCAAAAGTATTTAAGAGGAATTTTTTTTTTTTTTACACAGTACCTTTAATAAATTAAAAGTGTTGGAATGTGACATTTCTCTTAACTTCTGTTATTTTGTTCGTAAACAATCTCTCTATTGACACATTGTAATAAACTTTGTGTGTAAAAAAATAACAGAATCTAAGAGAAGAGTCACATTGTAATACTTTTAATACATTAAAGGTGTAATAATAAAGACACGAGTGTATATTATAAAAGTCCTCATTAGTGTGTGTTTATAAGTTTTTATCCACGTTTCATTTGTGACATACTTAGCTTAGTGCCATTGTGTCATCAAAAGCTCAAACACACGGCATCAAAAGTTAGGAAACGTGGCATTTGAAAGACATTCTACCATCTGGGTTGAATTCAAGATTGACGTTAGTGGAGGTCTGGAGCAAAGATTTGCTTTCCATGCTTCCTCATTCTAATCAAATTGACTGGAGTATTGAATTGAGATTTCCTTAAATATATTTTTAATGATAAATTACTTATTGTGAATTTAAGTGTAACACATTATTTATAAAAAAATCGACCTCCATTAAGATTGATAATCGAGCCGAGATTGTCGAACTTGTTTTTCTAAATGAACATTAAAAATTGTTTAAATTCGACTTGTTTAGATAATGAAACAAGCCCAAGCTCAAACCAAAAACCAAAAAAATCAAGCCTTATGTCCCAGTCATTTGGGGTTAGCTATATGAGTTCGTCTTTGTTATTCATTTCGATCATGTGCTATACACTCATTTAAGTTAAATATTTTTATATATTTTATTATTATTTTGTTCAATGTTAATTTCGGTCTACCTCTACTTCTAGTACCATAAAGAGATATTATCTCACTTTTTTGAACCGATGCTTCTATCGGCATCCGTTAAACATGACCAAATCATTTTAATTTATTTGCTCTTAATTTATCTTCAATTGGAGCTACTTGTGCTATTCTCTAATACGGTCATTTTGTATCCAATCATTTTTAATTTTTTCACACATCTATCTTAGTATTCTCATCTCCGCNATCAAATATATAAATTTGATGTTAATTTAATAATTACGATAAAATTATATCATTAAATCGACATATTAAATTAAATTACCATTAGTGTGTATTAATTATGGGGTTTATACATAGGAACATTAAAATAAATCCACGTTTAATTTGTGACATACTTAGCTTAGTGCCATTGTGTNACCATTAGTGTGTATTAATTATGGGGTTTATACATAGGAACATTAAAATAAATCCACGTTTAATTTGTGACATACTTAGCTTAGTGCCATTGTGTCGTCAAAAGCTAAAACACACCGCGTCAAAAGTTAGGCAACGTGGCGTCAGAAAGGCGTTGTACTTTTGTTGTTTTATAAACCGACAAGTGGGCTTATAACTGTCTGTTAACGACCATCTGGGTTGAATTCAAGATTGACGTTAGTGGAGGGTTCCGGAGCAAAGAATGACTTTTAAAGCAGTGTCTTTTTTATTACTTGTAATTTTTTATCTTATCCGATTTTATTTGATCTTATTGATCGGTTAGTTAAAAAAATTAGATAGAAATGTGCAAGATTTTTTTGTAAAATCTGAGTAAATTTGAATTTTTTATGAAAAATGATAAAACGGTAAATTGTCACTATAGTACGAATTGAGAACTCATATTTTTCTAAAGCTCAGATGACGAAACGGATCTCATTGTTGTACTCGTCTCGCAAAATCAAGTTACCTAAACAAATTTCGCAGAATTCCGAGATAGTTGAATTTTTTCTATTTTATGAGACGATCGGGTTTCAGGTGACCCAAAAATAAAATTTTTAATAAAATTTCAAAAGTAGGAAAATAATTTTTTAANGCAGAATTCCGAGATAGTTGAATTTTTTCCATTTTATGAGGCGGTCGGGTCTTAGGTGACCCAAAAATAAAATTTTTAATAAAATTTCAAAAGTAGAAAAATAATTTTTTTTAAATTCATATAAAATATTTTGAATTTGAATCGAAATGAAATTTAATTATTTTAGGGCGAAACAAATCTGGGAATGGGGGAGACGCGTGGCGCTACGTGGACCAAGCGTTAAAAGGTATAAATAAGAACAAAAATCTGATTTTTTGGACGAAATACTCTGCTATATTCCGGTGGGTTAACGTGAAGAAAATAAGAGAAAAAAAAAAGAGATTTTAAGGCTTTTCGCTACGATCTACGCCTCTCTGTCTCTCGAATCAACTCGAGTTAAGAATTAAAATCGATTTCCTCGATGAGAGCTACATTTATGTACCAAAAAGAACAAATTTCACTGAAGTATGGAAGACGGAATTTTGGAGAAATTAAGGTTTGAGCTTGGGGTGTATTCTTGGAGTTTACCAACGTTCTTTTAGGCTTCAAGATATAGGATTTTCATCCTACTTAGATTTATTTTCAACTTAGGATGATTGTATGAATTGGGTAGGTTGTTAGATTTGATTTAACAAATGTCTATTGTATTTGAAATGTAAA